CTCATAACATTCTGTCATTCTTTCACCTAGATATACAGTTGTAAGGTCTCATAGCATTCTGTCATTCCTTCACCTAGATATACAGTTGTAAGGTCTCATAGCATTCTGTCATTCTTTCACCTAAATATACAGTTGTAAGTTCTCATAACATTCTGTCATTCTTTCACCTAGATATACAGTTATAAGGGTCTCATAACATTCTGTCATTCTTTCACCTAGACACACAGTTATAAGGTCTCATAGCCTGCATATAGACAACGCTCTGTCAGTTTCAAAAGTCTTTGCATTAAAAAATATTAAACATAAATTATTTGTTTATATGCAGCATTTTCACATTGCTCACACGTGTTATTTGTAAAGTTGCGATTCATATAAATGTGTGCATTGAAAATACTCATGGCTACGACGTGACTGGTGACTTGTCCTTTTCATTGGTATACGATATGCACAAATCTATGCTATACCATATTATCCTGATTTGTAATATAATTTCTGACCTAACTGTTCTCACCGATCGTTATTGAAATATGTTTATATACACTTTACAATGATTATATTTCTTACAAGAATATCTTAATGATCCCCATTTATGACGATATGCCATTCCCCCAGCTGTATATCGCATCCTCACTCCAGGCATCCACGGATCTAAGTACTTCCCTACTTTACTGCTATATTTCTCATCATTTGTAGCTCGCCATAAAAGCACCTGTGTAATTAAAAACAAATAATTTGAAACTAGTTGATTATACGGACAAATCTGATACTTATTCCTTTAAACTTAATATAATTTAATGTACCTGTGTATCACTGTAAGACACAAATACAGGGAAGACAATTATGTTGATGCGTACCGTTGGATGTAGCATTCCATTTTTTGTCAACTGTTCTATGGACATGGGTGAGACACATTTTGCAAAGGATTCTCAAATTACTGTATCCAATGTCTAACTGTTTGTTAAAAATTGATCATCGATCACATTTCCTTCCATCTATATTTGTAATTGTGGATATGTTTGTGATGTTAATTTATGACACTTCATGAAATAATATATGAACAAAAACAAACAAATCATGAATTTCACCTTTTTCATTGGGAAATATAGCAATCACGTTTTCAATACTGTATCAAACACCACGTTTTTGGAATACATTATATTTACTAAAAGTGCTGTGGTGTTTGCTTCATTTTATCAATGTTTCAGATGTGTGCACGACCAGAACAAAGAAAAAACAGAAATTTCAGAAGGGTTTCTATCTACAAATTAAAACTAATTTGTTTGAAGTATTGTTAAACGTTATCTAGGCATTCACTGAATGATTGTTTGTAAATTGCTACACCTATAACTTATAATGTGGTATCTTATTAAATATTATACGATAGTCAATGTGTTTCCTATATCATAATAACTGTGACTGCAACGGACCCAAATAACCCAAATAAATTCCCAATATAATAAGTACATATACCGGCAAACCCAATCTAGTTCATTTCAGGACGTTTGCCGTGATGTCAGGTGTCGGCTGTTATGCCAATTCCTGATTCCCGAATTTATATTTTTTGCGCGTTTATAGTTTTTTGCTATTGCGCATAGAGCGCGACACTCCAGTGATTCTTGATGGAAAAATCGTAACAAAGAAACGCGCAACAAGAAAAAAAGTGAGTCCCTCGTCAAAGAGTACAGAACACTATTGGATAAACGTATCACTTATGTTAGTGCATGTTAAACCGGCAATAGCTGTAACTATCGTTCGTTTTAAAACAACATAACCTGTGTAATTAAGACCATCGCCGAAATATAAAAATTATAACACAATTGAAAGATTAGTATGTAAAACCACATAATGATGCTGTATATTAAGGTAGCGAGACTATTATTTGTGTTGAAAATTACGATTTTCACATTTATTTATTAATTGATGAAATGCACCATAAACGTTCATATGATAAAGTCAATATAACATAGAATGTCATGTAAGTTGGTTAAAATGTAGATTTTCTGAAGGGAAGCAAGGCAGCCTCAGTAGTGTTTTCCAAAATCAACAACACAGGTTTAATCTGTGTGCCTATAAGTTTCAAAGATAAACTCAAGACAACGCAATGTTAGGATGTGTTATCAGTAGCTATCTGACACACAATGAGCGTTTCCACACAGCCACTGAAACAAATCATTGATTTTTGTGTTTTCATATGCCGAATTTATCCAATTATAGCTATCCCATTCCTTTATTTTTTTGGTTTCCAATAACCTTACACATTTGGATGTCCCTACACATGGTAAAGCAGACCTTGATGGGAAAACAAATTGATTGTGCCGATAAACAAGCTTGAAAA